GGGGATAAATATCTGTTACGTTGCAATGCAATGGCATGTTTTCTTACCCTCAGATGAGAAACCCAGAGTCACACTGACGCAAGATCCAAAGTACAGTGTGATGTTCCCTGGAGAGTCAGTCGCCTTTAGCTGTCATGTTAATGTCTCTTTTGGATGGAAGTACATGTGGTACAAAGACGGCGGTCAATCTATCGCGTCTGGAAACAACTATTCCCTCAACTCTGTTGAAACAACAAATAGGGGCTCATATGCATGCCGAGCAGAAAGAGGCAGTGATCCATCCTTCCTCACTGACTCCAGTCAAGCTATACGCCTTGAAGTTGAAGGTAAGTTTCTGTTAGCTTCCATTAAACTTGTATTTATAGTATGCAGGGGTTGAAAGAGTTGTCCAGTTGTGTTTCTGCAGTGCATCTTTGGTCACTTATGATGCTATTATCTGGCTACTCAGATGATTTAAGAACAGTTTAATGTTTAATTGCCTGTTAAAATTCCTTCTTTGTGTCTTTAGGAAACAAGCCTAAGCCCTTATTGACTCAACGGCCAGATGTTGAAAAGGTGTACACTGGAGAGTTAGTGTCCTTCCAATGTAAAGTTGAACTCTCGTCTGGTTGGAGGTATCACTGGTACAAAGATGGAACACAACTTCCAATCAACAGCAGTAGTTTTGAAATCCATGACGCCAATTTATCAAATGGTGGAACTTATGAGTGTAAGGCCATAAGAGACAAAACAATGTACAATACAGAGCACAGCTATGGACGGCTCTTACATGTATCTGGTGAGTCAAAGAAAATTACTTTGTTGAAGCGTATTACGTTCACCTGTTTCTATGAATTGCATGCTATAAAATGTTTGAATCAGTTTGGAAGAGGATAAAATTAAGGATATTTAAAAAACGTTAATGTCTCTGTTTCTCTCCAGAAATTCCTGTTCCATCTTTAAAGTTAATCACACCGTGGTTGGATGTGATCCCCACTGAGAGTGTGAAATTTAGCTGTGGGATGGACGGCACCGCTGACTGGAAATATAGGTGGTTCAAAGATAAACAGCCTGTCCAGGCAGATAGTACTGCATCCTTTGGTTTAGATGCAGCTACTCTCTCCATCAGTTCTGCTTCAGCTAAACATGTAGGACAATATAACTGCAAGGGACACCTGAACGACAGGTCTGTCGGAAGCAACTTTAGTTCTGGACTTACTCTCAATGTATATGGTGAGTTTTCTTTTTTACATTTTACATAAAAATACTTATTTTGGCAGCGAATTTAAAATAAAATGAGTTTTCTTCATTTTAGTTACACATTTTCGGGGATGAGGGCAGGGGATAAATATCTGTTACGTTGCAATGCAATGGCATGTTTTCTTAC